CCCACGCCCACGCAGCGGCAGCCGATGCCTTGTTCTGGTTCCTGCCTTCCTCCCACCCCGTCAGGAGCAGCCTCCCTCACGCAGCCCCTTGACGCCCGAGCACGGCAGTCTGTGGCTTCAGAACACACAGGAATACTGCTGAAACCACAGGGTTAATCCACAGTCTTTTGATGTGAGGTTTACTTCAAGTTATCCCTGCTGACGCTGACCGTGCTCTTCGTTTGGGCCAGTTGCTCTCCTCATGCTCTACCGGAACTGAGATTTCAGTGAAACAAGAAAAAAAAAAAAGCACTTCCTAGCATTTAGGGTCAAAAGTGCTGCCCTGCTGTCCTCACAACTGCTACCCAGGGACGAGCAGTATCCAGAGATTTGGGGAAGTGAAACACCCTCTATTCAAATATTCTGTGAAGGGAAATCCTGTCTATATGGTGAGTAGAACTGGATCAAGAGAGGAGCCTCAGCTCCTCCATCGGCTCCTTCCCCCAGGTTCTCCACTTCTTCATTGGCTCACACTGCACCCAAAGTTTAGTTTTCCAACTAATGTGGAGCCTGTGCATCATTTAAAAGAGGAACAAGAGCAGTACTAACACTCTTAGCGCCATGCCAGAGCGATAAGGAAAGACGATTTAACCTTTCCCAGCTGTTTCTGGCCACTAATGTACCCAAATTTATGGGAGGCTGTTTCAGAGCAGAAATTGAGCTTCTCATCCTCAACTCACGCATGGTCCTGCCCCTACGAAGAGTCTGTCACCTAGTCATGATCCTGTTCAGGGACCCAGGAGGAGGCAGGCCCAGGCAGGAGGCATTACTGCCTGGAGGCCCTTGGGGCTCAGCTGCTGTGCTGGCCTAGAGCTGGACCACCCAGCCACAGGACCCCATGGAGCTGACAGATGAGTTTCTGGAGGGCCACAGTCTAATTTAGAGGAACGCAGCCCCCATCAGAAAAGCAGGCAAATGTCTCTGAAGGCCCGTTTGAGATGCCTCATAAAGGAGATGAAAGGGATGATGCTCTCCCAAGAGCTGGCGTCTGCAAACTCAGGCACATTATGAAAGCCCACAAACTTTCTTTGCTCAGGGATTTTCGCAGGTCTCTGTTGTACCTCAACAAAGACAGACTAGTTATTTAAGCAAGAAAATACTGTAAAGCCTATGTCAGCTAAAAATCACAAAACGTGAAAGCACAAGTTTTTCTTTCAGGCCAAAGCAAGATGTTTTGCCAGCTGATGCCAGCATTTCCCTTCACATTCACCTCATGTGATCTTGCAGGGAAACCTCTGAAAGAGATAAGCCAGGAAGTCCAGCTGTGCAAATGCAGCACAGATAAAGCAGGGCCCCTGGACGCTGAGCGAGCTTCCCTCCCTCCCGCACGGCAAGCTGCTTCCATTCTCTGCATCCTACCTATGCCCCGTCTTTCCGTGCCAAAAGCTGTTTCTCCCATAATCTTCCTCCCTTCTCTTCACTGGCCGCCCTCACTTCATTTTGTCTAATTTTACAGGATGATAGAGAGTAAGGCTGGAAGAGATCTCAGGATGCCATCTAGTCTATCCTTCAGCTGCAAGGCAAGATCAGTTATAAGATCAATTTCACATAAGCTGTTTCCTGACAAATATGTATCTAACCTGTTCTTAAAACCCTCCAAAGACAGAACAGATCTCAGAGTCTCCCTAGACAACCTATCTTGTGGCCTGGCTGTTCTTTTTCTACTCAATTTTTTCCCTATTGAATAAGCTAAATCTTCCTTGCTCTAATTTGAATCCGTAGCTTCTTCTATACGCTTATGGACATGAGCAGATTACTCACAGACTCCTTGTGGCAGCCTTTTATGAATTTGAAGACTTAGACTATGTTATCCCTATTTTTTAACTTTTCTGATTGGTCATATTCTCTAGATCACTCTTGCTTTTGTAGGAATTATCCTAATTTGGTCCAAATCTTCTTCAAAATACAGCGCTCAAAACTGGTACACAGCACTTGAGATGAAAGGGTGCTAGCATCAGGTGAAGCTGAAGGACTACCCCACTCACCTGAGATGCTCTCCTGTACACACCAGTCAGTATGACGAATTTCTTGCAGAATTATGTTATTCCTGTTTTGTATATAGTTTGTGAGCTCCAGATCGTGTTACCTCCCCTCTTCCATTCCCCATTTGTATCTCTGCATCGGCTATTTTTTGCACACGTAACAGAACTTTCTACTTGTCTGTAATGAAAATATTCTTTTCAGACTACGTTTCTACTTTCTCACGATAACCCTGATTTCTATTCTTGTCTTCCAGTGTGCCCACAGGCTTTCCAGCTTGGTAATACTTCCAAATGTAATAAGCAAGCACACATTTAGTTCTGTCACCAGGTCCTTAAATATACTGAATAGTGTCAGACCTAAGATGGCCACCATCTAATACGACAGTGAATCATTAGGTGGCACACTCAGTAGCATTGCAGCAACCCAATGAATAGTTTCACCAAGGCTGTATTTATAGAAACACCCTATGATACCAGTTATCATTTGATCTGACTGCTCTTGACCAAGTCATGTTGGTTGGAACTTCTATGTTATCTTGCAGACATTTAGAAATAGCTCAATTACCCCTTACAGAATTTCATATTAAATTAAGTGGTATATAACACCCTTTCTGCCTCTCTCCCGTCTCCATCCCACCTCTCTTTTCAAGATGTGCTACCTTCTGGAGCCTGCCCTTATCTTCTGCGGTTTGTCAAGATAACCACCGGCAGCTCAAGGACTGCTAACCCATCTTCTCTGAGCATCTCAGGACAAACTTCATTATGAGCTTCCTAAGTAAACCCACACAGCTGAATAAACGCGACGTCTGCTAATGCCTCTGTCATCACATTCCCTCCTTTGCTTGTAGGCCATGCCCTGGAACCCATCTGCACCCATCTTTCTAGGTCGCTAGCAATTTGGGCAGGACCTGTTAGTGCACTGCCCAGGGAAGCCAAGTGCCACGCTTCATCAGTTCCCCAAGCACTGCTGTGACACACGGATCGACAGCCACTACTGAAGGTGATGGTGATGTCTAGTATTCCTCAGAGGTGAGGATCCCTCACTCACTACATGAAGTCGCTTTTCACTTTAGCTACCTTCTATCCAGATCAGTCAGCTCATTTTCCTAGCATCCTGTACGGAATACCCATCCAACAGTTAGGCTCAACATTACAAAGATGTTTCCACACTGAAGCCTCCCTGTGCCCTGCTGGACTTACCTTGTAAATGCATCCCATCAAACATACCCTTTTCCCCTGTGTACAGCCCTCTTCTCAGCCCAGAGAAGCCTGGGCTGCTTCTCTGACTGTACAGCTGCAGACACACCAGCACACGCATCCTTTTCCACCACCTTTTAACCTTCCTTCAGTGTCTGTAATGTCTCAGTGCTCACAAACACCAACAACTTTACCCCAAAGGCCCTTTTCAATCCACCCACCAGCTTTCCCATGATACTGGGAACCTGGCTTCTGCCTTGACGCTGCTAGTGATGTACTTAGCCTCTCTGACTCAAAATCACCCTTTGTGTTTTGTGCCATTTTCCCCTGTCACACCACAGGAACTTTCTGTAAACACCAACTGAACCGCACGCTGTTCTTCCTCTGCTCCCACCGCACAATCGATGCAGGCAAAATGACTGCTACGCCCAGGCTCTATTTACTGCGCTGCATGTAATGGTCTCATTGCTACCTGTGCTCCTGTTCCTCTGTCATCCTCATGGATTTTAAGATTCATCTTTCTGTTATTTCGATGTGCACTGCCTAGCACCACAGGGTTCCCAGACCCGCAGCGGTATGTCTGGAGGCTGCTGTTATAACAACGGTTTTCATAAGGCAGGTACTCTAACGAAGGCAGCCAGCACTTTTGCTCTTCAGACAATTCTCCCCGATGAGACGCCAGACATCCATCCTAGTCACGCCAATTAGAAGGCAGCCAAATCAGAGCCAAGTATCATCCCATAAGAGATGGTATCAGAATGCCCCTGTGATAGTAGGGAACAAAAGCTGTTTATCGTCATCGTTAAAGACTTTGGATGTATCTGTACGGGCCTGACTTAGAGTTGTATCACCTCAAGAGAATTAAGAGCTGCTCTGCTTCTGGGAGGGGCTTTCTTGTCTCTTCAAGCAATTACGTTCTGCCCTTGTTCCCGTCAGAGTCTTTGCTGCAGAAAGCCAGGCAGGCAGGCAAGGCAGGGGAAATGCCTTCTCTTCAGCAAAAAAACATCAGATGCAACCTGTGCAAGATTTTCTACCGCATCTGTCAGTCAGAATGACTGTGAGGGGTAGAAAAGGCATATTCACTATCTATTATCTTTCCCATTGCTCAGAGGTCCTTCACATCCTCCCACCTCCTACTAAAAAGGTTTCTTGGCAGTATACATGCACCGCTGTTCCAGCCAGAAGGATGAAAGGTGGTGAAGTAATCCATGAGATAGTACGGTGAAGTGTCAGCAGTTCAAGGTGATCTGAGACGCTCCTATGAATCTCTCGGTACCCTGAGGGGCTTCAAGAGGCCAAAAGCTTTCTCAGGAAGTGACTGTTGACAAGAGAAGTGCTGCTTGCACATCTTCCTCAGTTCAGTGACTGTCTGA